ACCACACACCCTCCCTTTTTTAACGTGCCGTTGTCTGGTAAGTTTTTTAAAAAAAGCCAAACGTTGTGCAACCGTGTTTGGAAAAACAGAGCTGAGTAGCTTTTGCGCGACCTGAGAAAGGGACTCGGGACTGACAAAGTGAAGGGTAAAAAAAAAAAAGAAAAAAAAAAAAGGTTTGTTGTTGTTGCACAAAGCAAGTCACACCGCCAAAAAGGCCAAGTTACACAATCGAAGACGTGTGTAAATAAGGAGATACAAGCTGTCAAAAGTTTTGTAAATTTAGCATGACAGCGGCAATACGAGAGATGCTATGAAGCAGAAAGTAGAACATGGGAATCGCGGTTGAAAGTAGATGTCAAGGGCCTCTATGCAAGACAACATGCGCTTGCTCTTCATGCTCTTTGACCTTGGTGCGCCTCTGAAAGGCACAGAGCCAAAGTACACACACTCTTGCGTTTATTTATGCTAAAGAAATCAATCACGCTAGACTAGTAGAACATGTATATTTTGCTTCGAAACAGACTCTGGATCCTCGATAATAGTAGAGGTCAAGGCGCTGGCCAACCACGCCAGCTTCTGTCGAGTCGTATTGTCGCACAAGAAGCCACTCGACGGCAAAGGCGCAAAAGAACAACGCATCGCCAGCCACGATACTTTTGGTACAGACCGCTTTATTTTAAATACTTCAACTTTTGTCTCTCGTCTACATGTTTAGGCTCATTGTCTATTAACTTGAGACCCCAAAGAATCTTATGCGAGTGCTGCTGGGCTCATTTTACCTGTCTGAAGACTGAAAGCAAGCCCCCCCCCCCCGGATCCGCCCTCGGCCGGGGGTCGCCCGCAGAGTCTCAAGGTCACAGGGTTACCGCAAAAGAAAACGGGCATCTAGACTGGGACAAAACCGTGTAACCTTTCTTCTCCATGGTTGTAGTTATGGGAGACTACACCCGTTTTTAAAGGGGCCAGAATAGATACACAAATCATGTCATTATACATTGTTCTGCCTTGTAAATGGCTAAACGGGCGAACCATACCGAAGGGGAATGCGGAGAAGGTTCTGAGAGGCGGCGGTAGTCAAACAGAGTTACACAAAAAGACTGCGTGCCAGGCTGGCAAAAGAGCAGGTGCAGGTTTCCGCGAGCTCTTCTCTCCCTCCCCCCCTTTTTTTCCTCTTTAAAATCTGGCTTTGGTATTGTTGTCCTGCCGGCTGCCTGGCCGCCTTCGAGAAGGCGGAGCAAGCTTAGCGGCCCGGCCTGGGCAATCTTTGGGCTCAAGACCCAGAGTGTTCGTAGTTTGGAGAGGCAAGGTTCGGTGTTAAAGGGCGTGTAAAGTATGACACTGGAGTGATATAGGCTTCTGTATATTTGGAATACACTCGGTATTGACTCGGGCCGTCTAACTGCAAGCGTGGGTGCTCATACAGCAACATGTCTCTGATACCTACAAGTCAAGACATGATTGATCGACGCTTCTTCCTGGCTGGACTCATTTTCTGGCTCCGAGAGTTTCCCTTTTCTGCGGCCCTTGTGCAACGTCAAGACGGCTCCAACGCTCTGCAGTGCGCAAAAAGAGAGCCGAGTGACCTCTGTCCAGATTCTGTACACACGAATTGGATATTAAAAAAAAGTCTGCCTTACACTCGATGATGCAATATTAATAATGGTTTGCCAAAAGGCAAAGTTATCTGGACCGCCCCAGCGCAAATCATCGGTGCTCGGCCGGCCACATCGTGGGTCACAGGCGGTCTCGCAAAGCGGCCGCATTACCCATTATAGCACTCACAGAGACGACGTCTGCCTTGTCCTCAACCTCGCCCGTTTCACATTTCGGCAGTGCAATGAACTATGTTCAAGCCCAACAGAGACCTCTTTTTGTCCCATTCTCATACCGCATCGTGAGATCATTGGATCCATTCCTGAAGCACCCCCAGCTGTCTGCCCGGCCGCAAGCCGCCCCCCCTGGCAAGGGACCACGTAATAGGGACAGAGTGTCTATTTTCGGGTCACACAGACAAGACAACTTCTCTTGCTCATGTTCCGCACTTTGCTGAGACAGGAAAACCTATCCGTAGTCCCATCGCTGGGCGGGCAGGCCCTGGCAGGCAGGGTGTGGGCAAGGTTGTCCGTCCAATGGGTATGGCCCAAGGTAACCTCCCCGTCGAGCCATCATCGTTACATTTCGACCTTGTTCAAGGAACTTTGGGACCGCCGGGAAGGGGTGAAAGGGGGCGTGTGCAGCAACGCTGTCAAGGTTTTGTGGCTTCCCCCTCCCCTCCCTTCGTGCAACCAACACCAGCCGTCGTTCCATCACGGATGCTGGGAGGGGAAAGAGACGGACCCCTGTTGTCTAATTCGCTCATACAACCATTTACAAGAGAGAAACAAAAAAAAGCCTCTTCCTGGGCCACACCTCCTGCCTCTGCCGGCAGTCCTGCAGGTGTTGTGTGTGGACTTGTACCCGCAACTGCGAGGGGGCGAAGAGGCTCGCCGTCTAGTGGAAAGAGATCGCTTCGGTAATTGTTCCTCTCACGGACCTGATAACTGACAGCCACAGTAGCACCAGATGGAGTGTACTCGTCGCTTTGAAAAGCCTTAGATTTCAATGAGCTGATGAGCTGTTGGCGACCAGCTGCGGTCCTGAGCTTCGTCGCGAGATTTTGCCAAGGAGCAGCCGAATGTCTCCTGACTTGCTCAGTGTCCATAGCCTAGGGTTTTAATTTCCAATCCACAATGATAATACTCACAGAATGCGGAAGGTGCGGGTGGCAGACCCAGTAGTACCAGGAAGAGCCGACACCATCCTGTGACTCGCCACAAGCCGGCCGGAATATCCTGATAAACCCCTCTGCTATTTACGATGATCTTATTCATCCTAGTCGAGCGCCTCTTGCTTGGCTACGAATGGGGCTGGACGACAAGGAAGAGTGTGCCTGCGCTTGATTGAGGGCGAAAGCCACAGCAACTACCAGAACGCCATGGATTTCAGGGGGCTTGAGATAGCATGACAGCGTGATCACGGCGTAAACAATCATGAGGTAGACCCCGATTTGGTATTCGGTCCGTCATTCAACGCAAATGGATGAGTCTACGGAGTAGCTCGTCGTTTCGAGAGCGGGGAGATGCACTTTTGTCCCCCTCTTCCCTAAGTGGCGCATGTGCTTGAAATTACAGCAAAACCTAGTGAATCAGGTAACCCGCTAAGCCGAAGGATTCTTGTCCGAAAAGCCGTGCACAGGTCAGAACGTAGCTCTTGACTCGGGCAATAGCAGCGTCCCGAGTGCAGCTCCCGACTCTGTCGAGGCACAACTGCGGAGATGTGTGCCCGTAGCCTACTGTATTCGTACCAGTAATCCGTAGAGAGGATACCGAGATATCGTGGCGTGCAAACCATGCTCCCCTCAAGACTGGGGCATACGATCCAAGTGTCTCTGCTGGCAGTGATCAGTGATCACGCCTTGTGGGCGGCTACGACGGGGGCCACGGTACGAGCCCACGCATCGAGGTTAGTTGGCTAGCAAGCTTTTTCTCGCCCGCGTCACGACTTTTGAAGGCGAATCTTGCATACAACCGAGATTCCTTGGGGAGGGGCCTGAAAGAGCGCCACCTAGACAGGCCAACAAGGGAGGAATCAGGCTCCCCCGTGGATACCAACGGAGGTTGGTGAGAGCTCGCTCGCCACACTATACGTATAAGCAGCGTGAAAGGAACCTTCC